GGCCTGGCCGTCCTCACTCCCAGCCCTGGTCACCTCCAGCCCAGCCCTGTCACCCCAACCCTTGTCACCCCCGACCTGGCCCTGGCACCCGGACTCCGGCCCTTATCACCCCAGCCCGGCCCAGCCCGGCCAGGCCCTGTCACCCTGACCCTGGCCTGGCCGTCCTCACTCCCAGCCCTGGTCACCTCCAGCCCAGCCCTGTCACCCCAACCCTTGTCACCCCCGACCTGGCCCTGGCACCCGGACTCCGGCCCTTATCACCCCAGCCCGGCCCAGCCCGGCTCGCACCATCCCCAGCCCAGCCCAGCCCAGCCCTCATCAACCGCGTCCCTCATCACCCCCAGCCCTCACACACCCAGCCCACCCCTATCACCCTGAACCAGGCCCTTGTCACCCCCAGCCCATCCTTGGCCCATCACCCCGGTCCTTGTCAGCCCCTGCTCCCCCAGCCCTGACATATCAGTAGCTGCATGGCAGCCACTTGTCAATGTTTGTGCTGTGGCAGCGCCCAGCACCCCATCAGGATCGGGCCTTGCCATGCCAGGCACCATAGGCGCACACAGCTCACAGCTGGCTTCAGATACGATGTAAGAAACGAGTGTGACAAGGGCTGGGGGTGGATGGGACCCGAGAGACACGGGGAAGGGCAGGTTTGAGAGCAGCACCACCTGTTCCCGGGAGGGTGGGGGGGCGGGGAGAATCCCTGTTCTGCATTGTGGGGAACCAGTGGGATCGGTTCTTGGCCCTACACTGTTTAACAGCTTTATCAATGACCTTGAAGAAACCATAAAATCAGCTGTGCTAAAGTCTGCAGCTAACACAAAGGTTGGGGGAGCGGAGTCACTGCGCTCGCTCTGGGTCGCTTGTAAGCTGGGCGCAAGCAAACAAGATGTGTTTGAACAGGGTGAACTGTAAACACGGCCAGCTAGGACCAAAGCCTGCAGGCCCCGCTTACAGGCTGGGACCCTAGCCTGGGAAGCAGGGACTCCGGCAAGGTCTGGGGGTCATGGTGGACAATCAGTGGAACATGAGCTCCCAGTGCGTCGCTGTGGCCAAAAGGGCTAAGGGGACAGGGGCATCTGGAGGAGGAGCAGAGAGGTTCTTGTACCGCTGTGTGTGGCCCTGGGGCGAGCGCTGCTGGGATCCTGGGTTCAGTTCTGGTGTCTATGATTCAGGAAGGACTTTGATAAATTGGGGAGGGGTCAGAGAAGAGCCCCGAGAATGATTCCAGGGTTAGAAACCTGCCGTACTGTGATAGCCTCAGGGAGCTCCTTCTGCTCAGCTTAACAAGGAGCAGGTGAAGGGGCGTCGGTAAGTACCTGCACGGGGAACAGAGACTTGCTAAGGGCTCTTCAGGCGAGCAGAGGGAGTGTAACAGGCTCCACTGGCTAGAAGCAGAAGCTAGACCAGGGCAGACAGGAAAGGGGCGTGCATCTAACCGGATGGGTAACTAACCACGTGAACAGCGTCCCAAGGGCCGGGCTGGATTCTCCAGCCCTGGTCATTTTAGACTCAAGACAGAAAGGACGTTTTTCTGCTCTGGTTCCACCACAGCATGCGGGGACTGAAGCAGGCTGGAGCAGTCAGTTTACTGATTTGCATAAAATATTGCCCGGGGAGTGGCAGGAAGCCTGGCAGTGGTGCAAGGGTTTCCCTTGTTGGGGAGGGGGGGGCTGTTCTGACTTTTCTAGCCTGGCCCCAGGGCCCTGCCCCACCCTCTCCAGCTCCAAGCAGAGCCTGGGGCACCTGCCCTGGGCTCTCTTGGTGCCAAGTTTATGAGACCTAGCACTGCGCCTGGGGCGATCAGAACGCCCCATCCCCCAGTAAGAGGGACAAGTCTGCTCCATCCCATCTCCCCTCCGTCTCATCCCTGCCTTCGTGCCCAGACAGCAATGGGCTCTGGGGCAGACGCAACCCGCTTTGCACACACCCCCACCTGAGGGGCAGGTGCTCGTGGTCTGACACCCACCAGCCAGAATGCAGCCAGCTCCAGCCCCGCGCCTGGGCACTGGGCCAGCGTCCGCTCCGAGGAGAGCTTCCCCCACCTCCCGCATGGCCCCTAGCCATGCACTGAGCCAGCCTTTCGCACAGCGCAAGTGCTATGGCTGTGGGCTGCGACTTGCCCAGCTGAGATCACACCTGGGAACTGGCACCGCAGATCAAGCCAGCCTCCCACTGCAGTGCCCTTGCTGTGATGTGCCGAGGGACGTCCCACGACACGGGCACTGCTGCAGGCAGAGCTGCCGGGGAGCGGGCGGGGCGCTGGGAGGACGCTCAGCGCTGTGGCTGACTTGCCCAGAGCCGCCTGTCTGCTCACCGATCCCAGCTGGGGAGAGCAGCGGTTCCAAGCAGACCTCCTTCCTCCGGCACACGCTTGCTGCGGGACGGGTGTGTATGGTGCTGGGCGTGGGGCGAGGAAAGCCTGGGTGGCAGTGCGCCCTGTTAGCTCAGGCATTGTTCCCCGTTTGCTCCGGGTCGGAGCAGCAAGCAGAGCGCTTGGCTCCCTGCCTGCCCCTGCTGCTACCCACAGCCCCAGGCCTGCGAGGCTGGTGCTCCTCCCTGCCTGGGTGCGCTGGGGGGCGGCTCTGGAACGGCTGCCCCCTCTCAGAATGGGAGCAGCCAGGCCTGACGGGGGTTGGGTGTCTGCTCCCAGGCGTTAGTGTCTGTGGCGTTTATCTGTGCACACAGGGGGCCCCGGCTTCCTTCCAGCAGCTCCCAGCGCACCCTGCGGCTCTGCCGTTCCAACGCCCAGAGTAACGCGGCAGCCCAGGGCAGCCAGACACGGCGTCAGGCCAGTCAGAGCCCGGACCAGTACGGGAGATGGGGCCGCGCTCTGAGCCCAGGGTGCGCTGTGAATCCAGAGTCGCTGAGGAGGGGTGAGTCTGGATCCCCCCCTGAGAGCAGCACCTGCTCATTGGGGCAGGGGTAAGCTATGCCATGGCATGCGCCGCTCGGTGCCTGTGCCCACAGGGTGACAAGCACTCGCGTGGGCACCGGTCAATACGTGGGCGAGCGCAAACACGAGTCACGTGGGCACGCTCTGGCACACACAAATACATGCGCTGACACACAGACGCCCACATGGGCACACGCTGGCATGCGTACTCGCATGGGCATGCACTGGCACAAACACAGTCAGACCGGCGCTCGAGTGGGATGCTGCTGCAAACAAAGCGCCAGCAGAGGCACGCAGTGCCCAGGCCGGAGGGGAGGGAGTGTCTGTATCCAGCGCTGGGGGCACCCTGCCTGTCAAACAGGGGACCCAGAGTCCAGGGCGGACAGCCAGTCTGAGGAAGGGAGCCTGATGGTGCACAGAGCGGTGCGGTGTGTGGGGCAGTGTGCTACATAGGGCAGTGCGGTGTGCGGGTGGGGCAGTGCGTGGGGCAGTGAGCCATGTAGCACAGTGCGGTACCATCTCAAACACTCGAACGTTTGAGTCTGTCCCGCGTGTGTCCGTCCGTCCGTCCCCTGATACCGTGTTTGCCTCTTTTCCAGGCAAGCAGTCGGGAGGTGGGAGATCTCAGGCCAGCTCAGAGGTAAGAGTCACGTCCCTTTGCGCTGCTTCCCGCCTCCCCGTGGCCCCGGCCGGGGCAGGGCCGTCCTGCTGCTGCTCAGGCTTGTTCCCCTCACAAATCATGAGTGCAAAGAAGCTCCCCCGCTCCCCCCGGTGCCTCCACCCCCCCGTCCTGGGGAGCCGTTCTCCCACATCTCACCAGAACTGTTCCCGTGCGTAAATCAATCGATAATGTACCCACCCGTGTCCCGGGCGCGCCGTCCCCATCTCTCCCACCCCCTCTGGCTGCACAGTCACTGCCACACTCGCTCGGTCTCTCCTCGCTCCCTGTGGCATCCCTGGTCCCCATCTCAGCTCAGCTGCTGTCCCTGGCCCCCTGGACAGCAGCTGTGGGGAGCCCCCCCTTTCGTCGCGTCTCAGGCCTGCCTGCAGGTCCCCCCCCCCGAGCCGGTGCCCTGCCCCCAGCAGGCCTGCGCCATCCCAGGGCAGGGCCACGTGCGCTGGGACCTTTGTCCCGGCTCTCCAGGGGCCCATTCACAGGCCAGTGGGGCAGAGCCGGGTGGTGAAAGGCGCCTATTGTCTGGGCTGCTAATGAGGGAAGTCACTTCACCACTTAATCACAGAGCCAGCGGCTGGGCCCAGCACAAAGCGCCTCGCTGGGAGACAGTGCGTGGCTGTGCACAGCCTCCCTCGGCCACGGTACGGTACTCGCCGCCCACTCCCAGCAGGGCGCTGGCTGGGGGAGCTCCCGGCTTTCCAGCCCCGGCCTGTCCCAGCAGGGGGCGCTGTGGGGAGTGGGGCAGGGCGCTGGCTGGGGGAGCTCCCGGCTTTCCAGCCCCGGCCTGTCCCAGCAGGGGGCGCTGTGGTGAGTGGGGCAGGGCACTGGCTGGGGGGGCAGCCTGTCCCAGCAGGGGGCGCTGCAGAGAACACGCTGGTGCCGTGCACTGGGGGAGCCTGCTGGCCCGGGTCATAGCAGCACGTTGGTCTGGGGCTGGGCCAGGGCCTGGCCGAGGTGCCCTGGGGGCACTCCCGGCTGGGACTGACGAGGCCCCTTTGCCTTGTTTCTGGTCTGTCTCCTGCAGAAGAGAAGGAAGAAGGGTGCGAAGCAGAACCCTGCTCGCAGCCGGCGGGAGCAGCCCCAGGGAGCACGGGGGCCGCTGAACAAGGAGCCCAGGACAACCAGCACACGAGTGGCAGCCCACAGACAGGTAGGAGCCCCAGTGGGATGCCGGGGAGTGTGGGGGCTGGGACCCCCAGGATGGGGCTGGAGAGGGCACTCAGGGCAGGGTCCCGTGCCCCTCGGGTAGTGGCGCGCGTTTCCCGGGTCCCCACCTCCTGCTCCGACCCTCCCGGGCTGCAGATGCTCCAAGGCATGGAGGGTCCGAGCGCCCCCATGCCCCAGGCTCATGGACATGCCAGCGTGGGGTTAGCCCAGTGTGGGGCTCCAGCCGGCTCCTCGCTGACCAGGGGGCTGGCACGTGCCGTCCCAGCACTGCTGCACCCCTTGGCCACACGGATGCTGATAATCACTGAGCTACGGCTGCCGAGGGTCAGACGGGGTCAGGAGCCAAAACCTCCAAGGAGCTGCCAGGAGCTGAGCTGCTGCTAAATGCAGTATAAATGCACAGCCCGAGACGAGACTGCAGGGGGCGCTCTCCTCCCTCTGTTAGTGCTGCCCCTAATGCAGTGCTATGGGGCCTGTGCTGCAGGGAGCGGGGTGGGACTCAGCAGGGGGCGCTCTCCCCACACAGCTGGTGGGGGGTCAGGCGGGGGCGCTCTCCCCTCACAGCCAGTGGTGCCCACGAGAGTGCGGGTGGCCAGGCCCCCTCCACCCCACGGTGCTCTCCATGCAGCCAGACCCCCACATTGGGCCAGGTTCCTCCCCTCCCCATGCGGGGGTCCCCATGCAGCCAGGGCCCCTCCCCCCGTGCCAGGTTCCCCATGCAGCCAGGGCCCCGCCCTCCCATCCCAGGTTCCCCATGTGGCCAGGGCCCCTCCCCCCGTGCCAGGTTCCCCATGCAGCCAGGGCCCCTCCCACCATGCCAGGTTCCCCAGCTGGCCAGAGTTGTGGTGTGGCTGGTGTGGGCAAGGGGACAATGGGTTTGTGGGGATTGGTGCAGCCTGTGGCAATGGGCCGCCTAGACCCTGCAGCCAGAGGAGGGCGCACGGGGAGGCAGGGTTGGGGGATGGACTTGGCAGCCAGGAGTGGGTGCAGGTATTTGAAAGCCCCGGGCCTCCCCCGTGTCTCTTACGGCTGGGGCTGGAGCAGCCGGAGGGCACTGTGGCCGGGCAGGAGATGGGAGAATTGGTCAGTGGTACAGTCCTAACAGAGCAAGCCCTGTTCTGGACTCAGGTACATTGGTAACGGCATCTTATCTCAGTGCAGCTTGTTCCCTTGCCTATGGGGAGAGCTACCCAGGATACCACCAGTGTCCACATGTAGCTGTAGCCACACTAGGGGCTGGGCCGCTGTAACACTCGCAGATCGTGCCCACAGGTGGTGAAGCACTGGAATGCGTTACCTAGGGAGGTGGTGGAATCTCCTTCCTTGGAGGTTTTTAAGGCCTTGACAAAGCCCTGGCTGGGATGATTTAGTTGGGAATTGGTCCTGCTTTGAGCAGGGGGTTGGACTAGATGACCTCCTGAGGTCCCTTCCAACCCTGATATTCTATGATTCTATGAACACACCTCCTTCGAGAGGGGGGAGGCGATATCTCTTACTCCTGGGGTGCGGGAGACAAGCTGTGAGTCACCCCGAGCTCTTCTCAGACCTGGGAGAGGCAGCGAGTGTCACAGCTAAAGACGAGGGGACAGACAGTGCAGCCCAAGCAGTGCCCATGTGTTGTCAGGGCCTGTTCTGGGTGCAGGGGCCTGTTAACACGTTGGGGTTTGCGGGTTACAGGTTGCTGTGATGAGCCGTAAAGCCAGCGTGGTGTTGTGCTGGTGTCTTTTGAGGATGAGGGCTGAGAGATCAGCTGTGGAGCGATCGCTGTGGGAAAAGTGCTCGCCTGTGGGTGACGCCGTGTTTTTGTCCTGTGTGCGTTCGCTCGAGAGCGCAGAGATTGTCTGGGGCACCCACGTAGCCGCTATGGGGCACTTAGTGCTCTGGCTGAGGGGCTGTGACGGCGCAGGGAGTGGGCGGATTTGACCTGGGAATGTTGCAGGGGAGTTACATTGGGGATGGGAAGGAAGCTACCTGAGCTGTAACCTGAGCCGGAAGGGGGGTTGGGAGAAGTGACACCTTCTGGCCCCGAGACTGCACAAAGGAGAGGAGGAGCAGGGGGACGGGGAGAGAGAGCTGCTGGAGGAGTTTTGGGTTTCAGTTTGGGCTGGGTGGTGCAACGCAGGGAACCCCAAGCTGGGGTCTAAGCTCCCTGAACCCCCCAGAAGGACTTGACTGAGGGGTCCTGGTTGTACCTACACGCCCTGTTATAGCCTGCATTCCTATTGTCCAATAAACCTTCCGTTTTACTGGCTGGCTGAGAGTCACGGTGAATCGCAGGAAGTGGGGGTGCAGGGCCCTGACTCCCCCACACTCCGTGACAGGTGCCCAACACCCGCCTTGTCTCTCTGCTATCCTGGAGCCAACACGGCTACAACAATGCTGCAGGTTAGTCAGAGCAGCGCCACTTCCTAGTGCAGACAAGGCCCGAGAGCTCCTGCAGGGCTTCCTGGCCTGGCACAGCCTGTCCGCGCACTTCCCGATGTGTCACCAACTGCAAGTCCCCAGACGGATCCACCTTCCTGCTGGAGGGTTTGCTGGGCTCCCCTCTCCCGTGCCTGCTGTCTGCAGTCCCCATCCCTGCTCCTCCCCACCTGCACACTGCGATCGATTGGAGCCGGGCCATGCCAGCCTGCCACTTGTGCTCACTCCTCAGGCTTCATGGGCTCGGGGCAGAGTCACAACGGCACCACTAGGCAGTGGGAGCTTCCTGGCCAGGGTCTCTGGGGGGTCGGGTCAGCCTCGGTCTGTCCCACCACCGCCAGCATCGCACTGCCCACTTGTTCCAGGCCAGGCCACGTGATCCTGCCCTTTGGGTATGTGCCAGGCCCTGCTGCACATTAGGGAGTGGCTGTTTTCTCAGAGCTCTTGGGACGGCCAGTCCTTCTGCTCCCAGCCCTGCCCAGCCCTTCCTCCACGCCCTTCAGGCCCCATTGCACAGCTGGGCATTCGGATGGTGTGTCCTGCTCGGGCCATGCCTGCGGGGGGAGTTGGTGCTCAGTGGGTCCCTCTCCAGAGGTGCTGGTTGCTCACTGCCCTGCGGATTGTGCCAACTAGGGTGACCAGATGTCCCGATTTTATAGGGACAGTCCTGATTTTTGGGTCTTTTTCTTATATAGGCTCCTATTACCCCCCACCCCCGTCCCGATTTTTCACATTTGCTGTCTGGTCACCCTAGTGCCCACGCTGCAAGTCCCTTCCTGCTCAGTCAGCCCAGCACTAGGCATCAAAGGGAGCCACCCAGATGTGGCTCAAGGGGCCCTGGGCCTTGCCTAGGGGCTCGGTGCAGATGTGACTGGCTGCCTGGCCTGCACCGCGGCCTCTCGGACATGGACCTGCTGGCAGGGGGGGTGCTGCTTGTCTGTCTGGCAATGGCCTCTCTCCAAGGGCTCATTGGCTACCTAGCTCAGGCTGAGACTGGAGGCTCCTGCAGGCAGGGTCCATGTCTTTGTCCTGGGCTTGTGCAGCACCGGGGCGCTGGCCTCTGGGAGCTGCCCCAGCCTGAGCCATAACAATGCCTTGTTCCCCGAGCAGCGGAGCTGGGGTTACGCGTCTCTGCTCCCGGGCAGACAGCTCTGTCTGTTGCTGAGCTCTGGCAGGCGTCGTCAGTGCCGGCCTCGTGGGCGGCTGTCACAGGGTGGGAATCCAGCTGGGACACTGTAGCTGTTGATGGCTGGACCCCAGCGCCCTGTGAAGCCAGGCCCTCGGGGTGAGGTGGGCAGATTTTCACAGTCGCACTCGCACAATTTGATCTCCCACCTCAGCTGTGGGTTCGTAGCAAGACCCTGGGTTCGTAGCGAGAGCGGAAAAGTCGCAGCCGAGTCCAACTGGGTCAGACTAGAGCCCAGAGACCTCGCGCAGGCTTGTCCCTACTTCCAGCAGACTCCCCTCAACTAACCAAACTCCTCTCCTCAGTCCTGGGGTCCACTTCCCAGGCAAAGATGGTCACCTGACCATCCACCTCTGCTCTTTGCTCTCCATCTGGTCCCAGCTGGCTGGTTTCCAGCAGGGGGGATTGGCAGGCCATAGTCATTTGTTGCTAGACAGCCAGATGTCAGGGGCATTGTCTTCTGGGTTCTCCATGGGCATGGGGCCCAGGCAGCTAGGCGACAACCACATCTGGATCTCTGCCAATAGTCAACATCCTTTGCCCACCACCTGGCTAAATATGTAGCATATAGGGGAAATTGAGGCACACGATTCTCATCCAAAGTACCATGAGAAATTCCCACTTTGTCACAGTGGGGGTTGCTGCCTGTCGCAGTGGAGGGTGATTGTGAGGCAGTGTAGAGGTGCTGCAGTGGAGGTGTGTGCAGGGATTGCCTTGTGTGCGGTGGAGGCTGATTGTGGGGCAGTGTGAGGGTGTTGCAGTGGAGGTGTGCACAGGGGTTGCTGTCTGGGGGGGGTGATTACGAGGCACTATGAGGGTGTTGCAGCGGAGGTGTGTGCAGGGGTGGTATGTGTTGCACTGGAGGCCATTGTGGGGCAGTGTGAGGGTGTTGCAGTGGAGGTGTGCACAGGGGTTGCTGTCTGGGGGGAGGGTGATTACGAGGCACTATGAGGGTGTTGCAGTGGAGGTGTGCACAGGGGTTGCTGTCGGGGGGGGTGATTACGAGGCACTATGAGGGTGTTGCAGTGGAGGTGTGCACAGGGGTTGCTGTCTGGGGGGAGGGTGTTTATGAGGCACTATGAGGGTGTTGCAGCGGAGGTGTGTGCAGGGGTTGGTATGTGTTGCACTGGAGGCCATTGTGAGGCAGTGTGAGGGTGTTGCAGTGTTGCCGTGTGTGCAGTGGAGTTGGGCCTGAGCTCAGCGGGGTGTTTCCTGGAGCATGGGCGTGCATGGAGCAGCTGTCTCTGGGTTTGCTTGGGGTGGGGGGTTCCCCGCTCATTGAGCTGGGGGCACTAAGTGTTTGCACCCTGCAGCGCAGGGCTGGGGGGCTGGGGTGTGCCCGGAGCCAGAGAGCCGGGCTGGGAACTGGGACAGGT